TTAAAAGCCGGGTTGCCGGGTCACTTTTAAAAATTTTATGTTATGAAAACCGAATTATTAAGTTTGTATGGCCTAATGTACAGTAAGTATTTTGAATTTCAAGTAATTAAAAAAATTACGGTTTATGCACGAAATTTGTCACGATCACGGGTACACAATAATCAAGCACATATATACTGTACTAGGTAAATGGAAACCATTTAAGGTTCGAAGGACTTAAAATTGCTTTTTATAATTGATCACAGATCAGTCCGACAATGGGTATTTTCGAAGCAAATGTTTGTTTTTAACAGATCAACCAATCAAAACCCTTAATTTGCGCACACACACAGACATCGGGGTCACTATGCTTCTACCGTAATGTCCTTCGGACAATAAACCTGTTTTTATTTATGCCGGCAATTAAATTTTTTTTTTTTATACAACTATATACTATTATTTATTATTTATTTTATTTCTGTATTAAACTATTTAAACTATATATAGCATATTACGTACGTACTATTTTTTTTTTTTTTTTTATACAGTATTACTTAAATTACAAGCATATATGCTATAGATTATATTATAGGTATAGATATAGATTTTTTTTTTTTTAAAAAAAAATGAAGTTTAGTTTGTAATATAAATAATTATCATTTTGTGTATCTAAAAATTATTTAAGAATCCCTGGTTGAGCCATCACCATTTTCCCCCAATTCCAATAATCGGAAAAAAAAAACCTTTCTTTTTTTTCTTGCTTGACGTTTAATTTATTTGTGAAAATTTTTTTTTTTCCTTGAAAGTTGAGAATAATATACTCTTCTCAATTTCTCAATAATAAAATTGTCACCTCATATTCCATGCTTACGTTATCTTAGAAGATATATATCAGGCTTATATCTCTTCGATTCAAAACCGCGATTTAGTTTTCATTGAAGAAAAAACAACTTCTTTAAATTTTTACGTTTCGTTTAATGAAGTTCTATCATAACAACTGAGAGAACAACAAACAACAAAAACGAGACTTTTTGTCTATATTCAAGTGTTTGTTTATTGTTACATATTACAGAGGTAGTTACGTTAATTGCAGATCTGCATGAAAAGATTTTCACCCTACCCTATTATTATTTTTTATTTTATTTAACGTATTACTGTTTTTTTTTTTACATAATTGTACTTGTATAACAGTATATGCTATAGATTATATTATAAAGTTTATCTTGTAATATAAATAATTATCATCCCAGATTTTTGCTTTCGTCTTTTTTTTTTTAAATCAAAAACTTTTAATAAAAAATTTAAAATTGCTATTATGAATCAACCTATAAATCAAGTAATTGGAGGTCAACCTTTGGCACCTCAAAACGCCAATATTCCTGTAAATCAAGTAATTGGAGGTCAACCTTCGGCATCTCAAAACGCTAATATTCCTGTAAATCAAGTAATTGGAGGTCAACCTTTGGCTCCTCAAAACGCTAATATTCCCTTTAATAGCCTAGCTGCCGAACAAAGATATGAAATTTTAAACGAAGGTGCGGATCCGTTTCCTAGTACTGCTGGAGAACAAGAAGCGGATAATCAAGCAGTTCAATTTCCGGACGTTATTATTTCAGGATCACGCTTCTGATAAGAAATTGATTTTTTCATTAAAGAACTTTAATGAAATAAGCTTAAATATGTTTCTATGTTTCTCTTTTTCCTTGGACCTTTAATATCTACGTATTTACTTTTATATATGCAATTGACCTTTCTAAATCTTCAACTATATATTTTACTTTTATGCGAATTATAATTATAACTTAAGGCTATAAATAGAATAGAATGTAAACCAGAAAAACATTCATTATCCTACAATTTTCACTATCCTCACGAACATTATAAACATGTACAATAATTTAATTAGTTAGATAAATCCATCACATATCTCATATCACATATCGCTTGTGGCAATTTGCAGGCAAATTTGCCTACAAGACGTTCCTACAAGACATTTAAGAAATCATAATGTATTCTATTAAAACGATACTGATACGTATATTTTTTGATTAAATAAAGTTGGCAAATTTGGCAAAATGTGTTATAACGATAAATGCTAGTTGGTGACAGGTTAATACTAAAAGTAATACGTACGTACGTATTCAATAATTGAATCCCATAATTTCTTATTAACGTTAAAGTGTATATATGCAATTTCTAAAAAGAGTAAGCGCATACACTCTTTCATACATTGCAATTCGGTTAGGCTTTCTTGAACATTTTAAACTTTGATAATCATGATTAAAGAATTGTTGAGCCATT